CCCTCCCTCCCTCCCTCCCTCTCTCTCTCTCCTTCAACCTCTTCTTCTCTCACTCGCTAGCGCTCTCTCTCTGGCTCTCTGGCTCTCTCGCTCTGTCCTGTGCGCATGCCTGGATCCCCTTTGGCGTTTCTGAGTTGGGTGAGCTTGAGATCTCTTTGGGTCTAGAACTGAGACAGGGAAATTGAGTAGAAGGGAAAGGAAGGAATTAATGTCTTGAGTGCCAACTCTGTCGGGCGCTTTAAACTTACATCCTTTAATCCTGACAGTAATTCCAGAGGTAGGTACCTTCGTCCTGTAGGTAAGGGGAGGACACGCAGGATGGCGCCTCTGAATCAGTGTAGCAGCAGGACTGGGTCTCAGCGCTGGCCCCATGTTCCCGCTGTGTGTGGCATCAGTGTTTGGCATGTGGGCGGAGAGCAGACAGCCATTTCTGGAAGCGGACTCTGCTTGCAGTGAATTGGTAGCTGTACGGGAAAAGTGTTTGAGGGAATTGACAGGGGCGGGGGGCATGCTCCCAGAAGCCTTTGTAGCAGACTGGCGTGGCACACCTGCTCCCTGTGCTTTGTGTCCTGGGTCCCAGCGAGGGCAGGAGCCTCCTGCTTGGCCAGGCTGTGAGCCTCCTCTGTGTGTCTGGGCCTTTCCACGTGCTGCTGCCCTTGGCCTGTGACCCATGTGTCCCATCAGGTGTGACAGAGCCCAGGGGTTTCCGAGCACCGGGGCACACGGCACATGCCTCTTTTCTCTTAGGGCTCCCTTTCCTGCCTCTTGATCCTTGTGTTGGTTACTTGGTGGCCTTTTGGACTGTTTGCACCCAGCAGGCAGCCACAAGCCCCAACCTTATCTGAAGCCCCTTGGGTTTGGCCCTGGCAGAGGTCCAGAGAGACCTCAGCTCAGTGCGAGTTACTGGAAGAATCCCCCGTGCCCGTGGAGCAGGAAGTTCCATGAAAGTTTAAATCTGTTACTTCTTGTCCTGGTCTCTGCCGGGCGGTGTCTTGAAGGAATGGGTGTGGGTGTGTGAAGGCGAAAGAAATGTGAATCACAGGTCCCTAACTTCTCCTTTGCGTTTGCTGGAGGCAGGAGGGCGGGATGTAGGCATGGGGAGGGCAGAGCACCCCGGAGTGAGTGCCGGTCCCACCCCTGCCCTCCCGGCCTGCCTGCCCACAGGAGGTCAGAGGTCTGCAGGAGGTGTGTGTGACCTGTCCCAGGAAGGGATGGCATGTGTCCTGGCCCCTGGCGCCCAGCCCACCCTCACGGGCTGGAGAGGTCCTCACAGCTCCTGTTTCAGCACTTCCTGGACTGCCGAGCTAAAGAGCAGATTACAGGGCCGCACCGGGCCTTCCCGAATCAGAATCTCTGGGGCCGGGTGTGTGAGGATTCCAGTACCAGTATGTAAGCGGGGACTTCCGGTCCCACCAAACTTCGAGGACCTCTGGGAGACGGGGGGCTCCCTTCTTTACTGACCCAGGCCGGGCAGCTCCCACTCGGCTCCGAGGCCCTCCCTGGGGTCACGGGCCAGTGGGCGTGAAGTTGGAAGTGTGCTGGGGAGGAGGGGTCTCCCTGTAGGGGCAGCAGTAGCCGGGGTGAGGGCCAGCAGCTTAGGCCCGCCTCCTACCCGGGCACGAGCGGGTCTTGGACTCGTCACCGGCGCCCCAGGGCTCTGACGGAGGCCCGCGCGGTCCCTGCGGCTGCCCAGGTGTCAAGGCAGATACCAGGGAGCGTTGCAGGAAAGGGGCGCCCGAGGAGATGGCCGGAAACGGAGACGAGAACTTGGGCCGACCTGACGAGGAGGCGTGTCTGCCTACACCGGGCCCTGCCCTTGGCCTCAGAGCGAGGGGCGTCCACACACAGGAGCACATCCGCCAACTGCAGTTCACGTGCGCAGGCCCCGGCCGGGGGTCCAGGCCCAGTGGTGCTCTGGGGAGCCGGCAGGGCGGGGCTCTGCGGGGCAGGGGTGTCTGCCCGCAGCTGCTGGCTCAGGCGTTTCCGGCAGGAGCCCTTCCT